TCACACACACACACACACACACACACACACACACACACACACACACACACACACACACACACACACACACACACACACACACACTCCTCAATCACGTTTCACACCTTGCATACACACACCAATGCGGACCCCACCAGTGTGGAATGGGGGCTCATACTTGCAGGGCCACATTTCTCTCTGGCTGGCCTTTGTCATGCGGTGACATAGTTAATCTGTTTTGCTAACATGCAGACTTTCATGGTGACTAATGTTCAGGCCCCTCTGCGTAGCCTTATTAAGACGCAATACATTCTAATGTCAACCCGACCTCACCCAGCACTTCTGTTTCTTTCATGGGCCAGGAAATAATTGTTGTCTTTTGTCTTTTGTATGTAAAATGTAAAACATACAGTAAAATCATAAACCAGTGGAATTATTTTCTTTGCAGCATTAAATATATTTCCAAAGGGAGTATGATTTCAGACTCCCTTTGGAAAAATACATATTGTTATTTCTACAGTCGGCATCAGTTAGCTTTTCATGGTTATCTGCAGGTAAAAAGACATCTACTGTAGGTGTCTTCCACAACTGGGCTTCATTTCATGGTTTTTAAGACATCTGGATTACATACAGTATATCCCCTCTTTAAACTGCCTTTGACAGCTATAACTTTACATGCAGGTTCTAAAGGGTCTTATTTTCATATTTTTTGGCTCAAGCTAAACATATTTAACAGTGACACCCTTTGCATAAAATGTAGTGTTACTGCGATTTTAAGTGAGATGGCGCCACAGAAATGATGGTGTGTCTTCTTCTGCCAAGAATCAACATACGTGTGGATTCCTAGTATAAGCATCTGGCAAATGAAAACACAGTGATGTTCTATAAACAATGTCAGGTCAGGAACATGTGAGCAGAGCCCTACCTGACCCCCCACCCACCTTCCCTTGGGCGAATTTGACATTGAGTAGTGGGCAGCAAAGTTCAGAGAACCTCTACGCCCTTGGGTCTTTTCATAGTGGTTAGAAAAGGGTCCATGCCAGACGCCCAGTCCTCTGGCAGTGGATATAGAGGTTCATGTCTGCCTCTATTTTTCTTTCATAACAGGCAGAATAAATTGGGATTCTTGTGGGATTTTAGATTATTGCACAGCTGAATGGCTGTTCTGCATTATTGCGTTCATATTTGATGCTGTTCATACACATCCAGAATGTTTTGCCGGAGGGAGCTGAAGGATGACTTGTGCAATATTCAACTTTCTGGGTATGCATGAATGTGTTGTACAGTCATAGGCCTATTGGTGTTTTATTTCAGTTTTCAGGCAGCAACAAACTTGGGCATTGCCCCACAAAAGTATCCCGGACAGAAAATGACAACAGCTGCATGGTAGCTGACAGAAGGGCAACACCTTGTAACACTGTTTACCTGCCCTCTGCCAGGAACACAGTGCATGATTTGAAACAGAACTGACAGATGAGGCCAATCAGTGGGTAGGAGGAATCAAGCAAAAGTTCTTGTGTCGCTGTCAGTGATTTGATCTCTGTCAGTGATGCTATGGTTCCTCTTGATGGTCTGTCATGTCCAAAATGTGTTTAATTGGACTCAATTAGTCAGCTCAAGAGCTCATTGAGCATTATGCTAATTGGCGTGTGCAGAAGGGGTGACAGAGGGAAAATTGGTAGTGGCAGCTTGTGTAATCCTGTTGTGAGGGCATAGAGAGCTCTGCGCAGAGGGGAAATGGATACAGTTGACCACTTGAAACTCAAGACGGAGAGCTGTGGTTAACAGAAGCCGCAGGTCCCCCTTCATTTCCCCTTCTACCTCGCACAATTGTTCATTTTGAAAAGCTATTTGAAATTCCTCCCTCCTATTAGTTCAAGCTTGTCACTCTGATGCCCCGTCTGTATAGGTAAGACAATCTGGGGAGAGTTGTGCTGGGGGGTGCACCACTGCTCCCACCATGCTATCAGGTTGATTTCAGTTACATTAATAAAAAGCAGTAACGCATCTTAAGGTTCCTGAAAGTGTGAATTAGTGTTAAATGTACTCTTTAATAAGGAACGAAAGGTTTCTGTATGTGTGTGAGGGCGTGTGGACTTGGCCGAGCCAGTGGGACAGAAGCGCTGATGTGTGCTACCGTTTAAAATAGCCCAGACAGACAGCTGAGCAGCTGTGACCTCAGGTCCCCGAAACTCTCAGTTACACTCACTGACCACTGCTCCTTGCAATGTGTGAGTATGTCTGTACCTAAAGTACGATACACTGAATCATCCATACCCATTTACCCTTCACACTGTCTTTACGAGGCTAACAGAAAGCGTAGTTAAAAGTAATTTGCAGAATAACTCTGTTTCAGCGTCTGGGATTGCTCCCATCATTGTCCATATTTAAAAGCCATCCATAGCCTTCTGCGTCAGTCAGCGGAGGTTATTAAAGGACACCAAAAGGCTTTGGTTTTGTCAGGCAGGGACAATGCAGTCCAATTACAGCCAGGCAAAGACAAGTCACGATATCCTCCGACTGGGCATTCTCTTTGCTCTCGCCAGCAGCCAGCCAGACACTCAGCAACAAGCATTAGACTCCAAGGATCAAATACAGACTGCGTGCGATTGGAAGTGTACAACTGTGGGACAGGGTGTGTGAATGAGATCACCGGTGTGATGATTTTCGTGTTCATGAAAGTATATGCGTGTGTGAGAGAGCGACAAAGAGAGAGCGAAGGAGCTTGTGGAGAGTGTGTGCTTTAGCCAGGAAAGTGTTATTAGTTATGTGCTCCCAGGCTGATGGCTATAACAGGGGGGAGGAGTGGTGAGACTTGGAGGGCCACTGTCGCCTGATACATTGCCAACAAATGCTTTTATAACCACTGTGGAGAAAAAAAGACCATGGTTACCCTGAACACCAATTATAAACATTACTCAGAAATATTTTTGCTTGAGTCCCATTGTACTGAATGCCTTTGAGATCCCATTGTAATTCTTTAGAATGTATCTGGTTTTTTCTGGTAACGCTAAAATAATGTATTAAACATGAAGTACACCTGATATAAGCCATCATTTTACTCTATTTGAATGTCATTTTGGGCATTTTAGCAGTTTGGGAGTCTCACCACAAACATGGCTCCCTTCAGGCTCACTGTCTGTTTATATGTGTCCTACAGTAGCTAAGACAGGCTAACAGTTATGATAACTCTGCAGCTGACAGCACTGACTAATTTAGGGCAATTACAGGCCATGAATAGGCAAAGTTTCCCCTACAGGAGCAGCCAACAAGTCAGCCACACATCAGCTGAGCGGGCAAACTGTCACTGTCGACGCTGCTGTCATCACCACTGACTCTCCTTTCCAGCAGCAAACCATTTGATGGCTTCTACAGTCCCCTCTGCCCTATTCCTGGTGCAAACATGGACCGATATGTTTAGCAAGAGGGTTCCTGGATGCAAATAGAGAAGGTCAGACTATGACGGTTTGCACTGCCCACGCCCTCATAACTCAGTCCAGTATGTTCAATGAAACACTGATGTGTTTTCAGGGACATGAAGCAATCCGCTGCAATATAGTCAACATTTCGGGGATATATCCTATTTGGGAGAAGAATAGATTAATACTACTCTGATATCTGTGTGCTAACTATGCAGCTCAGACATGTAGGCGATTAGCTTAGCTTAGCATAACGACTAGATGCAAAGAGAACAGTCTAAAAATACACTTTCATCTTAAGCTCTCTACTTTCTGGAGTCTTGTGTCTCAAACAAGACACCATTTGTTACGCTTTAGCCGGGCAATTATTGAATATAGTGTACTATGCACTAGGGCTGCTCGATTATGGCAAAAATCATAAGCTCGATTATTTGGGTCAATAATTGATATCACGATGATTAAAAACGATTATCCATTTACTTTGAAAACATCAATTTATTGGAGAAAAAAAATGGAACAGTTTGTTTTTAACAGTTGATTACCTAGACTCTTTAAGTATACTTCAACTGAAAAACCAAAATATATATTTAAAAAAAAAAAAGCAATAATAAAAAAATAATCATTTTATTTCGATTACGTTGTTTTCGTAATCGTTGCAAGCCATAATCGTAATTGCGATTAAAATACGATTAATTGAGCAGCCCAAGTCAAATGTTTCCTCACTGTTTAATATTCCCTTTTGAGGGAAGAGGCATTGTGAGTGCTGTGAGCATAACATATTTTAGAGCCCGCACACCTACTGCAACACAGTCTGTTCAAGCCCACACAGTCCTAAGAGGAATAATCAGGAACAAGTACCATGTGTGTAGGTCCACATTAATGAACATATTTTCAATTTATTAGAACTCTGATTTAGGGAGCTTATCAAGGCCTAAAGTGACTGATACTCTTTAAAGAGCAGGTACCAACACAGGCAGACAAGCAGAGCACTTTTAATAGAGCTCAGGTACACTGTATCATACCGATACAAAAGAAACACAATGAGACACAAAACAAACGGCAAGTGACTTAAAATATATACATTTATACACATGCAAGGGTAAAGGGCTGTAAGTGAACTGTGGGTGCATTGAACGACAGTCATTAACAAAACATACATTGAGGAACTCATACAGTATGATCTAAACAAATGTGGTTACAGAACATAAGATGTGACACATTTAAATTGCTAAAACCTTATATAGCTGCAAAGTAATGTATATTGCATGTATATGTGAGTAGTTAAGCGGGTCTTCTACTTTTAGGCAGAGTCAATGGTGAGTTACTGTTCAGTAGGGAGAGGGAGAGCTGTTTACAAAACAGGCAAGTTAATAGAGGAGATATTTCACTGCACATAGACCCTTGTAAGTGTGTAGACCTGTTTGCCTTAGATACTGTATCCATATAGCTTTTAGGGATTATCAGGTATATTACTGTATCTGCATAGCATTGACCGTACATTCAAACTCATTCACACTATTCATTCAGGTACTTAAGTGTACATTAAGCATTCTCATCTACACAGAGCGAAAACAGATACACAGAGGAAGCCATTCTAGCAGTCACAGAGTCTTTTGTTGAAATTCCCTTTTGCTCCATCCCCATGAGGAATCATTTAAAAAACAAAATAAGATTTGCTTTTATTCTGTTGGAATTCCAAGGAATGGTCTGCTTAAGAGTGAGTGACGAGACAATAGAGCTTATTTGGCAAAGTGTAAGATAAATCCATGAAGAGGGACACAATGGATATACAGTATATACCGTAGTATAGTGTTAGCCATTGTGCACTATTGCTTCTGTTTAGTGATTATACTGGGCAACAGATACACCCACATTTCTCTTTTTGTGTGAGTTAAAATGTATTTAAATCTGCATGGGACAAATCGACCTTTGAGAGAGAAAGATAAAACCTGACTTCGCAGCATCAGTGAGATATACTGGAATAAAAATGATATATGATTTTCCGATGCTTCCCCAAATAAGGCCCTGATCCTACCATAACAATTTTGATAACTTGATAGGTCATTCATGCATTAATGTGCAATTCAACAAGCAAACACACAAAACTGGATGCACAATAAACATTAGTAAAATCAACAATGTACAAGCTTTGTTCAAACATCCAAAATGTGTCCATTTCTGTAGTTGGCTTGAGTTCAAAAATGATGTGCATTCCTGCTTTATTTCTTACAGAAACGATATCTCTAGGTTTTTGTTGCATTATTTTATACGTAGTATGAAGCAGACAAGCACAGTCCATTCATAGCTAAGGGAAAAAACCCAATTAGCTCGATCAGTTAAGAGCTTTTTGTTGAATCAGTACCTCAGACACTTTTCAAATCTTTCCACCTATATACAGTTACATACTATACACACCTAGTTTGTCTGCACAATGTGTTCAGCCGTGCAAGTGTGCCCGTGCTCTACCTGTGAACTCATTACATTCTAATCCCCGCCAAGGTACACAGTCATTAGAGTATAACAAATCTGCTGTTCTGGGCCAGGCACCTGGGATTGATCTATCAATCTATCATGCATTCCTTAATCCTCCAAAAGAAAATGAGTGGAGTTTTCAAATGAATTCTTCTGCCTGGCTGGCAGATGGTGCAGTGGCCGTGATGGTGTTTTTAGCTCCGAAGGATAAGCAAAAACCAACAGCAGGAAAATAAGCCGGCTATATTTGTACATGTGAAACGTGAATGTGAGTCTATATGTGTAAGCGTTTTTTAAGTCAAACCAGAATGATGCTGACCCATTCTGACAACAAAAGGTGTGATATGTGAGTGATGGGGCTGTATTGATGTCTGTAAACATAAACGTCCAGCCCCCCAAAACAGCCTAGAAGCAACCCGACTAATTTTAGAAGATCAGCGTGCATGAGATGAGCTTCACCAACATCAGTGTTGCTGAAGGACAACAAGTTCCTGCACGTGTCCTCTTCTCTTCCACAACTTGTCTTCTTTGCCGATTTTCCGTTATAACCACCCATCAATGGCAGGAGAAAGGATACTATGCTTGGTATGTATATGATATGAGTGTCTCTGTGCATGTATGTTGATCCTAGAGGAGGCAGGGGTCGGTGGGGGATTCACAGAAGATGCTGGAATCAGAACAGGGTCCATTGCAGGCAAAGTGCAGCAAAGAGCAGTGCGAGGCTCCACAGCCGTGCCCAGCTGGCCGTCGCTGAGCCCCCTATCACCTTCACCGAGGGGGGCTTGGAAGGGTTCTCGCGTGGGCTTTCACCTCCAGGCTGTCTCCCCAAGGGCTTCCCTCCACTTGAGGCTGTATGTGCTGTAACAGACAGAAACATAGAGAAAAGGTGAGAGAGAAACAAACAGAGATAAATGGTTTAGCTCATCACTGTAATCATGCTAATCTGTTATAATGTTCAGAGTCCTTTAGGCTTGTATAATTGTATATGAAGGGCTTTTCATCATCCATTCTAATCCCTTTGTCTCTTTCCAAGGGACTTCAATAAACAATCCCATCAAAATGATGAATGATTATGTCTGTTACAGTTAAAGTGAGTACATATGTACATCAGAAGAAGCACAGCTGTGGGGGTTTCAGTTGAAAGCGCCAATAAATTATTTGAAGAGTGCTTTAAATATTTCAAAAGATCTTTTACAGCCACTGTGTTACTATTCAGCTACCAACACATTTGTAAATCCTTCTGTCACAGTGACAAAACGGTGCCACTGTTTTTTCTGCCCCATGTGACAGAAAATTAAGAACTGTCATCTCCACACACATATCATGATGGAGGGTTGACCATGTGTCTAATATCCAGCAGCAGATGATGAACAACCTTAACTGCGTCATTACGGCCAATCAGAGATAAATTAAGGTGGTGAGGGTAAAGCAGATATTAAGAAACGATAACAATTCCAGTCCCCAAGACACACATACAATTACACAAACCACTTTTTCTGTCTACATTGGTGAAATACCAGCTTTTCTTCAAGAGGGCTCTTCTCGTGAATCAATCCAACGGCTTCTTTTCCATTGACAAACTTCATCATCGCCCTGCCTCTAAACCACCTACTTTCTTCCGTTTGTGACAGATTGTTGATGTCTCTAAAATCAAAAGGAAATGGTTCGCTCTGCTTATTAATCATCCTTTTTCCCGCTCCACTTTATGCATTCCAAACCCAGCTCAGATATGTTCATCATTAGACAGATTACTACGTTCAGCGCAGCAAAGTGCACCCCACACCAACTAAGTTAACCTGCATCAATAAGACCTTACAAGTGCCGTCAATTTTCTGTGTGCACATGTGCTGTGCTAGGGGCTCTGCAAGCTTTGTGTGAGCTCTCAAAGAAGGATGGGGTGAAATCAGGGAAGGCTCATAGATTCTGAAAGAAACAAATAGAGCCATGGCCGAAGAAAAGAAGAATACCTCAGCCATACCAACGTCTAGTCTCAAAATGTGTCTTTATGCTGTCACTGTCAGAAAAATAGGCCAAGTTTGCAATGATTCCCAGCAGTGTGTAAAACCGATACTGTTTCAGCTTCCTGTGTGGGTACTACTAAATTGACAGTCAGGTGTGTGATAAGTTATCAGATATTGCATCCATATAAAATGGCAAAAATGTGACACCCACACAATACCTTTGAATACCTAACTAAATCTTTACAGACATAGAAAATACAAAGCGTATTTCTCTTTTAAGGCTGACATCGAATAAGATGTTTTCCTTTCACACTTGGCCTCTAAGAATGCATTCTTTTGTAGCACATCAACCCATCCCTACTGTGCCCTATGGGTCTGTAAGCATGCATGTGTATGTATTTGTGAGTAGGGATAGGCAGGGCTCTGGAGAGCGAGGGGAGTGTTTTCCGTGCCAATGGTTTTGTTGTTCCAGTAGACAATAGACAAAGACATCATTTATTCTAAATCAGATTGCTGTCTTAATGGAAATGGGCTGCATCTCATCGGGGAGATTTGAGTAAACAGCATTTAGAAGGGCCAACGAGGCACTAACACTACTCCACCGCAGGCTAACCAACTGGCTAATTAATGGAGCAGGTCCATGCCAAAACAAAGAATAACGGCATAGAAAAAAGCACTGGCACTTTGGAATGCATGGTGTTGGAAAGCCTTGTGATATTTGAACTATGCAATAAAACTAATCATCTAACATGGTCTGTTTTAAGGTAAAGCCAAACCAGGTGATTGCCTAGAAGGCCACCAGCTGCGAGGGGCATAAAAGAGAACAAATGAGATATTGTAATTTACCTCATGTCTTGTTTGTATTAAAATGCCTTTGTGTTCAGAAATCAAACAAAGCTCACACAAGACTCAACAAACCCTCACAACGACATTCAGGACATGGATGAGGAATACTTCTTGGACCCAAAGAGGTGTCCAAAATGTGACGGATGGATCAATGCTTCAGTAACACCGGTGAATCAGTTTGACATATTGTTTACACTCAGAATGAGAATATCTCTTATAAATAGAATTAGACACTATTTAAAGAGGACATTGTTGCAAAACCGTGAGTGGTTTGATTCTAAAAAACAGATCAACATCTGTTGGGAAATAGACAGTTTAAGTGCTTCAAGACACAGCTCTGCCATTTACAGGCGCAGTAGAATATAAGACATATTAATATTTTATATACTGACATTTTATGTTATGCAGTAACGCAATGTGTCATATGCATCTAATACACTGCTTTTAGAAAATTGTTCAACATTGCTTTCGTCACATTTACAATGAAAAGGACCTCAAAATGTGAGGAAACCTTTACACTTTATCATGGAAAGTAATAAAAAAGCCCCGCCCACATAGAGCTAACACACACCTGAGAAAAGCAAAGATTTCCAGTCTGTTTCAATTTAAGTTTGAAGCGATTTAAGTTTCTTCCCCAGCTATTAGGTCCTAATAATGTGTATAGTGTATAAATATTCATGACTTCACATATGCCTGGCTTTTTTATGTGAGAAAAATTGTCTAGCAAAAACAACTATACTGCAATAGTGTGGAAATGTCATGATAATATTTACAAATAGTTATACAACGGAAGAGCAGAAGCAGTACAAACTTGGTAAAAGCAGTATTGTATGTTAGTTATGTTCCTAAAAGCAAGCAAAAACTAAAAGTACAACGAAATGAAAAACCATGAGGGCAGGAGGATAAAGGAATGTGATCTTGTTGTCATAATGACACAATGTTAGCAGATAAGCTGGGCTTCATAAGCTGGCTCATGTGTAAATCCCCCAAATATGGTGGAGGAAAGAAATGGGAGAACAAGAAAGAGCGACAAACAGAGGGTGGGAAGGAGGGAGAGATGACGGAGAGGGTTGGAAGAGGGAAACAGTCAGTTTGGCTTTTCAGTATGAGTATGATGATCCATCGTCACTCGTATCAAGACAGATGGTATAAATCATCCCGAGCGACATCAAGGCTATGCGATGGCACGTAGAGATACTTCTTCCAATATAACAACAGTCAATGACATATTCTCCCCAGCAGTACAAGACAAATGTGAATTGATTGGTAAAAAGCTTTATAATAGACAACAAACAGTGGCAGAAGAAATCATGGTGATGGAAACCAACAGAATTGGACTGCTAAAGGGAAGAAGGGTGTATATATGTGTCAATAATGTATGTGGATTCTATAATAGAATAAATGGTGGGTTGTGCTAGCTTTCATTTCTCATTAGGGATATGTTCATGGCGAGGAAGAGAATGGGGGATCATGTCACACATCTGAACATCCAACACTGATATATAATGACTGTGGTACTTTCATACACATACAGAACACAGCTGAATCCCGACCTATAGCTTGTTAAAGAGGGGTGTTCTGTCTTCTGCCACCTTGCTGACCTTTTCATTGGCTAAGTGTGTGAGAAATGATTCATAGAGTCCTCTGTCACTAATGCTCCTCCAGATGGGTAGATTGTGTGTTTGGAAGAGCCTCCATTTCCCTCTGGCCAAGGAGCAACAACAGCTGCTTCTAACAAGCCTGGCCACGGCACTGAAGAAGAGATGGACCTCAGGCTTTAGCCAAGAGGAAGGAGGGATGGAAAGGGAGGGGAGGGAGAGAGGAAGGGAGGAATAAGGGTTGGAAGGTGAGTGGGAGGAATAACAAACCCCTTGGCCATAATTCTTTGGAAAAATTGAGGGACAGACATTTGCATGATGGTTCTTTGGGCAAACATGTCAGTTTATTGCTGCTACTCCTCCCTCTCTCTTCGTCTCCGTCCTTCTCTCGTTCCTGCTCTTAACTATTTTGTGTTTCGATGGGTTTGCAAGCACAAAGCCACTGCTGCCACACAGATGAACTCCTGAAACCTATGCAAACTGTTCTCAAACAATCATTCCTCTGTCTTCAACTGATAAGATTTCATCTCCCTTATCCTCAGCACGTCATACCTACGGGAATACAGACACGGACCAGACAGATGCACACAACGCATATAACCATACGAATACACTCCATTTGGGATGGCAGCAGGTAACGGGGCAATGAGTTTATTGAGGGACACATCCAATGAGTTGCTTTAGGTCCATGTGTGTTGTGCATGGCTGTGTTTGTGTTTCCTGGGACCGAACACAAGCTGCCGAGCTGTAATCCAGCGAGGAATGGCGCTACTGTATACTGGGGCTTAGCAAGTTGTCACACTATATTCTATCAAGATAACAAGGACGTTCTTTCAAGGCTCAACACTGACTTATAACCATGACTAGGGTTGCAAAGGGGCGGAAAGTTTCTGGAAAGTTTCCATGGGAAGTTAAGCTGGGACATTTTGGAAATATTCAATGCAAAATTAAACAAAAACACTAGGGCCGGGACTCGATTAAAAAAATTAATCTAATTAATTACAGGCTTTGTAATTAATTAATCGCAATTAATCGCATTTTTAATCACATATAAATATTTGACCTGAGAACAGTGAGAAGCAATTTTTTTCACATGGATTTTAGTATACCATTGAATAATGACTGAATACATAAGCTTAAGCAACAAAACATTGTTTATTTTTTTCAATGTGGTACTTAAAGACCAACAGAAAAGTGCAATTTTTGCCATAAAGTGTAGCAATAGCATATTTAGGAATATAGTACATTTCAGAGATTCAGGTAGCCTACAGGTAGGTAGCCCTTCTGTAAACTATAACACTTTGTTTTTTAAGTAAAACACAATACTTTCAAGTACATTCAGAACATTGGAAACCCTGACTATTAGAAAACATCTCTCTGTTGCTTCAGAGGCCATAAAGACTTTGTTGATTTACCAACAGTTGATTTAAAAAATCTAATCAATTTCAGTCCA